AGGGCTCACTCAGGTACCACAGGGTTCCCACTGCACAACTCACTTAGGGAAAGTGGTGCTCAATGTCTTGGATACTAGTGGCAGGGGTGGGGGTATGGGGGGGATATTAAATTCCCTTCAGTTAGAATATACCCTGAGTCTTGTACCACTTTGTAAAATTAGTCAGTGAAGTTTTGATTGAAACACTATCCTTCAGTAAGTGCAATTAAAGCAGGCTGTTATTTTTTCAGAGTTGTTGGCAAGTGAAAAATGGCAAGAGGAAACTGAGAAAGAAGTAGGTCACAGACTCTCTTGTCTTTTGGATTTACCTACAGATTAACCTTAAAAACATTTAAAAGACGAACTCCTACACTTATAATTTAAAAATTGCTCTCCCCTAGGTAAGTGGCTTAAATTCCCAGCAAGTGGTTGGGGTTATGGAGGAGGGTCTGGCTCCCATCAGTTCATATAGAATGGATTGCCCAGGCTTTTTGTTCCTCCTCTTCAGCTATCAATTTGTACTATCACTTGAAGTGAATAGACAGATGAAAGAGGTGAATTTAAATGTAACATTTGAGCTACTAACATGCACTTTGAAGGTGGAGGCAATAGAAATGACTGTAGTGAGATTTCAAATATCTGTGAAGTATATTTATTCATTGTTTTCTGACCCTTTATTCATAGATAAATAAAATTTCACTGCAGCACAAATAATGTCAACAAGGTCTCAGACATTATGAAGTCAAATAATGACCAGGTGGGAGTCAAGACTTACGAGATCTGGTTCTGGTCAAGTACCATTAGTTGGAATTATATTTCTCTTCTCTCTTCTTGGTGCCAAGAACTTTCTAGCCTGTGAGTAGGGTAAGTTAATTTATATCTTGTGTCTCTGCCTACTGTCTTGAAAAAGCCAAAAATATCTAATTTACACCAAATAAATTGTGTTATCATACCACCTGAGGTACACATATTTAAGTTCTTACTGGAATAAATATCTTTTCTTAGGCCCACAGCATACCGTTGGGCATGCTGCAAAACACACAGTTGAAGAAACCCCTGGTCAGTACACATAACTGTACAGATGTAGGTGGCAATCTTGATTGCTTCTATAAAGCATTAATTCCAAAGGGGAGGAATTTTATTTTTCATGTTCATGATTGTACCAAAGAACTTAGCACACTGCTATGAACATAATGAACAGTGAATAAACATTTGTTTAAAATATGAATGCATCCACAAATGAGTAAAGTGCTACATTTTAAATTCAGCATCCAACTATTTATTTATTTATTTATTTATTTATT